AGACAGTCAGCAGAGACAAGAGCAAGGAATGCGAGAGCAGCAGAAGGTGCAGCAGCAACAGCAGCAGCAGCACAAGGCACAGCAGCAGCAACAATAACAACAGCAGCGATTGCAGCAGCAGCAACAAGAACAACAGCAGCAGCAGAAGCCGCAGCAGCAACAGAAACTACAGCAGCAGCAACAACAGCAAAAGGCGCAGCAGCAGCAACAACAGCAAGAGGTGCAGCAGCAGCAACAACAGCAAGAGGTGCAGCAGCAGCAACAACAGCAAAAGGCGCAGCAGCAGCAAAAACAACAGCAGAAAGCGCCGCTGCAGCAGCAGCAGCAGCAGCAGCAGCAGCAGCAAACAGCATTCTAGCGACGATCCGAGCAGCAAACGGCAGCGCAGCAGCAACAGTAGCAGCAGCAGCGGCGACAGCAGCAGCAGCAGCAAACACAGCAGCAACAGACACAGGCACAGCAGCAAGAAGCTTCATGCCAGCACTCACAATGCCGAAAGCAGCAGCAGCTGCTGCAGCACCCGCAGCAGATGCAGCAACAGCAGCAGGCTCAGCTACAGCAGCAGATGCAGCAACAGCAGCAGATGCAGCAGCAGCAGCAGATGCAGCAGCAGCAGCAGCAGCGAGAGCCAGCACCATTGCTCTCTAGTTTGTTCGCCGCAGCAAGTACTGGAGAAAAGTGCCTGCAGCAGCAGCAGCAGCAGCAGCAGCAGCAGCAGCAGCAGCAAACATCGTCACAGCAAATGCTGCAGCAGGGAATGTCACAATCACACCAGCAACCGCAGCAGCAGCAACCGCAGCAGCAGCAGCCGCAGCAGCAGCAACCGCAGCAGCAGCAAGCGCAGCAGCAGCAGCAGCAAGCAGAACGAAGCAGACGCCAGCAGCGACCATCGCTGCCGGCGAAAGTGTTCTGGAGACATCCGAAAGAGCAGCAGCAGCAGCAGCAGCAGCAGCAGCAGGACTTGCTGCAGCAGCAGCAGCAAGCGGAGCAGCAGCGCGGTATGTAAAGAGAAGAAAACGCATGCGGTGAGCAGCAGCAGCGTAGAAGGTGAGGAGACACCGCAGCCAAGGCCAAAGGTCTTTCACAGCAACGGAGGCAGCAGCAGAGCGTGCAGTGGCTTCTATCCAGCTGCAGACAAGCAGACGAGGCGCAGCAGAACAGCAGCGCGCAGCAACTGCAGCAGCAGCAGGCGGCGCAGCAGCAGCCGCATGCAGGGGAGCCAGCTGCATATAAATATGTCTAGAGG